TGGGACAGCACTGGCCCTGCAACCTGGCTTATACTAGCAAAAGTTGCCAAATACCCAAAGGTAAATTTAGTCCTTCCAGTCAATTTTTGCAATAAAACCATGTTAGCAAAGCAGGCGCCCCATTCAGACATAAGTGTCATTTGGAACAGCAGTTAATAGTTTGAGGTTATATATTTTTAGCCAACAAAGTGAGAAATTGCTCAGCTAGCCTTTGCTTTCAAGTCTAAAAATTGAATGCTTTTCTCTAGAAAGATGTTGGCTCATACTTTTTATGAACTGGGCTCAGCACTTTCTAAAAAGTTTTTTTTATAGTTCAGCATCAATGTTCCAAAAGGCTTTTAAGAAAATCCACGTGTGCTCCTCTCTCGAAGCTGGCTGAGTGCAGTGGGAATGTTTAACGGTCTGCCAGGAGCGCCTATAAAATACGGCACTGAAAGAAAACAAGGCTTCCAGTACTCCCTGTCTCCTGATTCACAACTGTTTAAAGCCTTCCTGCTTGTAATTTAAACTTTAATGTCTTTCAGTTTATATCCTCCCAGCCTTTATTTAGAGATGGGTTGAGACTGGAGAATGAGACCAGAGTGGCAATATGTGTATTATCAAACTATCTACAGTGAGCTGGGTAGTTGGTCTGGCACACTGTGATGTCATAACATGCCTCTGTTTATAACATTCCCTAGTGCAGTGGATAAGACTAAATCTTGCCTGTGGCTCTGCTCAGTTTAGTGTGTTGCTTGCATATAGCCTCCTCTGATATAGAGTCAGAGGTGGATATAAGTCTGGGTGCTATGAAAACAATACTCTGTGCTCTTGCTTTGATGGTAGGCAGTATGTAGCCCATGTACGATGTTTGGAAACCAGTGGGTGTGTTAATAGTATAAGCGAAAGTGAATCACGCTCCAAACACTGGCCCAACCCTTCTCAGGGCCTTTCTTTAGTCACAAAGATTCAAAACCAGTCTCATTGCCCCACAGGGTCTTGCCTAGCCCTTGTCTCCAGGGCTTCAGTTATTACAGCCTTTCTTGTGGGGCTTCATGCCCCTTCCTAGCTGAGGCTTTCCCCAAGTAACTCCTACTCTCTGCGGGTACCGCCTGCTCCAGCCTTCTGTTCAACAGGCACAGAGAGCCACTTGCTCCCTGGTCCTTCCCTGACCCTGGGTTTCCCCACTCTGCTCCGCTGCCTAAGAGGCAAGAAGCTTTACATGTGGTTTCCCGTAGAGCACATAGAGTGCTAAGAGAAGATCTGTGCCCTGCAACTATAGCTCCCAATTTTAAAGGGCCCAGGGCTGTACCAGGAGCACTGGGATGTGATCACAGGCTCCGAAGACCCCGTGTCCTCCTGTTGCACTGCAATTCAATACGACTGTTTGCAGTGTTTGCCAGGAAACCAAGCAAAACTTCCCGATTTACTTTTTTCATATTTGGCTAGAATGTCCTATGTTCATAACTGGATACAGGCCCAAACATCAACCTCCCATCTGAGCCTTTTCAGATTAGGGCTGCCAACCTTCCAGATTGTCCTGGAGTCTCCAGGAATTAAAGATTAATTTTTAATTAAAAATTAATGTCATTTGATGAAATGTCCAGGAATTCGTCCATCCAGAGTTGGCAACCCTATTTCAGATCTGAATCCTTAGGTGAGAACAGGCTCTTGGTCTGGCTTCTGGGCCAGATTCAAAGTGTGACCAGATCTGTTTTTAGATGTAGGCAAAACCAACCTAAATCTCCTTAGGCTTTATCCTTATTAAATCCTAGCCTTGATAGGTTACAGTTCAAGCTGCAGACCCAAATGCTAACCCTCTTATGGATATGGACCCAGTCTCCTTCCTCATCCTTTCTTTAGAGCTAACACTGCTTTTCATCTAGCCCTCTCAGTGACACAGGGACACGGTTTTGCTATATATAAAAGTGGGAAAGAGGTGTTTAATACAAGGACCCAATGATATATTTGTCACTGCAATGACTAAAGCGATTGCTTTAAATAGCAGTTCAGTAGAAATGGAGAGGAGACAGACATTCTAAACAAGCACTGCTGAACAGAACCATGGCTGACAGGGCATTCTGGGCACTTACTCCCTCAGAGGGAGCAAGCGTTGTTAAATGTCTCTCTCTCTCTCCCCACTCAATAATATAAATGTAGTAAAGTCTACATCTCACTGTCTGCAAGTGCCGCGTTAACTCTTTCCCTGTTATGTCTTAAATAATCATAAGATACTGAAGCTCATTTCCTTCGCAGTTAATAATAAAGCAGTCTCGTCTGTCGACAAAAGAGATCCAAAGGGGCCCTTGTGATTAGCGTAGAATGGATCCAGAATTATCCCGGCAGTTCTATTAGTTGTATTATGGCAGTGCCTAGTGGGCCCTTTGTGCTGGGCACTGGACAAACACATAGTAAGAAACAGTTCCTGCATCCCCAAACAGATTACAATGTAACTAGACAAGATGGACAAAGGGAGGGAGGGAAAAGAGAGCCTCATACTTGCCCTAAGTCAGACAGAAGGTCAGTGAAGAGACTAGAACCATGATCTCCTGGCTCAGTCGTGTCCTGACCGCTAGCTCACACTGCCTATCACCGCGTCAGTCATGATCTTTTTGCCCCTGTAGTTTGCTGACAAAGTGCTTTGTTTGTAATGTCGGATCCCCCCTACTAGTGACTTGAAAGGGCAATTAATCTATCCATGAATACGTGAAGAACTTGAAGTAACGCAAGCTGTTTCTAGTTAGAATGGTAGCTTTGTGTAGACTGTCCATGCTACGCCATGCTTTATGTTCACAAAGACTTCTTAGTGCAAAGGATTATTTGTTAATTTACCATGTTCTCTCTAAAATGGGAAATACTGTATTAAAAGAAGATAAAAGGCCAAATTTTCAGCATTGCCTTAACTGGGCCTCCATTTTTCCAGATGCATTTTAGTGCCTTCAGTTATTTGGGGCCACAATTTAGATCATTCCGATGTTCAAGTCCCTGACTGACTGAAGATCAGGGACTGAAGTCTCTTAGTGACCTAATATGCTTTACCTATACGTTTCTGCACTCCCAAATGCAGATGGCAGTGTCTGAACAATCTAGTCTTACCGTTTGTAAGGTCATAAGAGTATAACCATTTAAAATCAGTATCTAACCTCCTTATATCCACCGCGCACAAAACACCGCAGATGTCACTAGTTACCACACAGGGCGGGCACTGCAAAAGGTCACGTCAGGAATAGCTCTTGGAGACTTTGATTCTTAGGCTTGGTCTACGCCTAACTCTTAGGTTGACCTAGCTCCGTCGCACAGTATGTCCCCGACAGATGAATTTAAGTCAACCTAAGCCCTGGTGTGTGCACGACCACGCTGATAGACGTACTCGCCTGTCAACACAGCTACCGCGTGGGTGCTTAACTGGAGCGGTGGAAAATCCCTTCTGTCACCGAAGCAAATGTCGACTGTCGAGTGCTACAGCAGCACAGCTGCAGCAGCGTAGACATACCCTTAAATGTGATCCCTTCAGGTCAAATTGGTGGGACGTTGGTGGGCTAAAGTGGAATACTTGCAAAATTTGCACTGCCATTGCTTAAGCTGTACCAGCTGAATGGATGGTCTTGGTAACTGCAGTGCAATATACTCGTGTGTGTGTGTGTACGAGAGAGATTGAGAGAGATCAGATAGATGTATATGTAGGCGGGGAAAACTTGTGTTTCACTGTGATTCAGATGCGTGAAGCAAAGGCAATAACACTACTAGAGAACTGGGGGAAAGGGCTCTTCGCTGAAGAGTCAGTCCTGCTCCCACTGAAGTCAGTTACAAACTACTATTGATTTCAATAGGAGCAGAATCAAGCCTGTGGAGCTACACTCTAAAAGGCGCTGAACTTCCTCAACTCCCTCGAAAGCGGTTTGGTCCCCAAACTGTGCGGAGGAACATTTGAGGAAGCGTGGCGGGGCCTGGGCCCAAGGTGGGTGGGGAGGGAGAGCCACCCAGCCCAGCTCTGCCCCAACTCTGCCCCGACCACAGCTCCAGCCATAGCTCCACTCCTGGCTGCAGCCCTGGCTCCTGACCGCAGCTCCGCTCCCGGCCCGGCGCCCCCCGAGCCTCGGCCCCCTACTGTGGCTCCGCTCCGGGCCCGGGCCCTGCCCCCAGCTGTGACTCTGGCCTTGGTCCCTGGATCTCGTCTCAGCCCAGCCGCGGTTCTGGACCCAACCTTGTCGCCCTTACCTCTGTCCACATCCCCCCCGACAGGAGCTGGGGCCCTGGTTCCCCACTGTGGCTCCCAGGGGTGGAGGGGTTCGGATAAGGATAAGGAGGGGGACGTGACGTGAAAAGTTTGGGGACCACTGCTCTAAAGCCCATAGGAGCTAGAAATACTCTCTGCCTGGCAGGACTGGGCTATTACCTACTGCTGCAATGCTCCATGGTGTTTTGAGTTTGTACACTTTTTAAACCCTTACTGTCCTATTAAGAGGGATTTATGTTCTTGAGTCTTATCAACGTTTACAAAATGTACCTGATCTCTGGCAATCGGTACAGCATTCTTTCACAGCTGGCTGCCCATGAAAGTCACATGAAATCTGATGGGAAGTTTCACAAGGTTATGTTAGGTTGGGGCAGTATTTAACTCATGCCAACCCATATTTAAGGAATAACTAGAGTAGCACACCCTTCCTTCCTTCTGTAAATATGCTGTTCAAATGCTTCATTTTTGTTGCCATACAGCAAACTTCCATGAGTCAGTGTAATTTGCATTACAATGGACAGTGATCAAATGTGCCCAGAACATAGAGAAATTATGCACCCTACCCCCCCAAATCTTAATGGAAATATGTGGGTCCCTCCCATCACAATGAGGCTAATGCCTTACCTAGGTTGTAAGCTCTTTGGGGCAGGGGAGCACCTATCGCAATGGAGTCCTGGTCTACAGTGGGGCTCCCAGGTGCTACAGTACAACAAATAATGACTCTCTCTAACAGCTGGTTTTTAGCTTTAAATAGCTGAAATATTCCTTTTCTAATTCTTTCTAGCCTGTGTACATGTCAAAGGCTGTGTGAATTCAGAGGGAGTGAAGGGCACGCCGCACCTTCCAGGATCCAGGCCTGTGTTGCTGCCATCCAGAACACTGAATATCCTGTGTTTCTCTATGGGTATGTTTTTTGCATTTTTTTTTTCATATTCTATTACTCGCCTTATCCAAATACTTTTGTTTGAATAGTATTACTGTATCAGCTGTGGTATTGTTGAGCAGTTGAATTGCCACGCCTAATGAGATCAGTTTTCTCTTGTCACCAGTTAGGGTGGCCACCGCTGAGGTACAAAAAACGGGGACATCCTGGGTGATCCTGAATGCTAAAACTGGCCAGCTGGCAGAGTGCACTGAGCACCCTTATCGATTTTTCCAGAGCAGCTCCCTCAAAAAAAAGGATGATCCCTGGCAGGTAGCAATCCTGGTATCATGGCTATTGATGCACAAGAAAAATCCTGGCTGTGAGTAACTTAGTATATACTAAAAGAAAAGGAGTACTTGTGGCACCTTAGAGACTAACCAATTTATTTGAGCATAAGCTGTAGCTCACAAAAGCTTAGGCTCAAATAAATTGGTTAGTCTCTAAGGTGCCACAAGTACTCCTTTTTTTTTTGCGAATACAGACTAACACAGCCGCTACTCTGAAACCTTAGTATATACTGACATCTAGTGGCTTTGTTAGCAAGAAGGAAACCATAAAACAAGAAGTGGCTTGTGTTTTCTGTAATTTTCTTCCTAAAGCTATGTTCTAAGTACAATAGTGAAAAATGTTAGCATTTTAGAAAAACCCTGCATTGCTGGAGAGAAGAAAAAGCAGCAGTCCTTGCCCAAGATTGTTTCAAGTGTGTCAACTTTTTCAAACACTACTTTAGAGAAATGAATATGCATACAGATCATTTTACCCGCTGTTATTTACTGGAACCATTTCTGGTGAATGTACCTGAATTTGAAGGAGTTCTAATCTGCCATAAGTAAACTTTAAGCTCATAAAGTTTATCGGAGTTTTCAGATACACATTTTCAGAGTGGAGGACGAGAGCCCAAACTACTAAGTTCAGATCTGGATGAAAACTTTTCTAAAGTTTGTGTGGAGGTGTGTGTGTACTGAGCGGAGAGGGGGAAGGATCCATGGATTGACTGTGACCCGTTTAAGAAATAAGAGACAGCTATAAGGTCAGACATAATTCAAATCTAAACTTTTCAGCAGCTAGTTTTTCAAATATGGGACTTTGCCCCATATTGAACCCTCTGGTAATGAAACATGTCAGAGCACCAATACAGTGTTTCTCAGTGGATTTTTTTTTTAAAGCTCTGTTGCTTCTTCAGAACTTGAGAATAATATCCCATTCCCAACCAGGCGGCGTTCACTTCCACTTGGCAAAGAGATTTCTTCCTTTTTTGTTGCCAAAGTAGCTGAAATCTACATGTGGCCCGGCCTCTTGGGTTAGCTTCAGTTGCTTCCTTTTTAATGTGTCCTATGGGCACATGTGACACTGCAAAACTTCACTGGGAACCCACCAGAGAAACTGAGCTTTCATGAAATAAAAACCTCACACCTCAATGGGCCTGATTTCTCAGAAGTGCTAAGCACCCACAGTTCCAGTAAAAGTTAGTGACAGTTGTGAGTGCTGGGCAGCTCTGAAAATCTGGCCGTAGGTGTCTAAAATGGGGCCCAATCCTTCAAAATACAGGGCACCTCCTGTGAGGTTAGTGGGAATCAAGGTTTTGTACACCCAATAGAAAGTGCAAAGCACTTCGCAATATTAGGCCCTTCTATTGTAAATCCTTTGGAGTAGGAGCCATATCTTCTCTGTTTTACATAGTCCTGAACACACTGATAACTCTCAACAAATACTAATGCCAACACAATCCTGCAAATATGGTTTGTTAGTTAGCTTGATGGCTCTGTAGATGGTTCAGCCCAAGCCTTGTTAGCCTTTAGCTTTTTAAAAATTTCTTGGGAACTGACCTCTTCCAATGGCCTTTACCTGCTTCACAACTGACCCACTCTGTGGGGTACTGTACCTTCAAGAGCTAGTTGGAGCCGATGTATGTTCTGTTTATGCAGAGGCTCATGTTAAGTTAGAAGTCAGAGTCTGAATCAAGCAGACCTCCATCAGACTCCTTGACTCGATGTAATGGTAAAAAAAAGTGGATAAACAAACCTAAATCCCATATTCCTCATATGAGAAATGGGTAAACTCACATTACCCTTGAGTACGCCACTGGCTTAGTGTGGTTAGTGAACATGACACGCTCTACCAATGAGGCGGCAGAGGTATGTGACCGTGTTGCCTTCATTGTCCATCTTGGTATTCAGACAGTGGAATGTTGGGATGTACTGAACGCAGATCAGCATTAGCTGGGCTATTCCCTATGTACGGTAGAAACTGGAGACAGTAAATGGAAGGGAAGTTGTTAAAATGTCTAGATATGTCCATTGTGCCGGTTTTATGAATGCTTTATGTTTATATTTTGTTTGCAGCATTGTTGTAGCCATGTTGGGCCCAGGATATGAGAGAGACAAGATGGGTGAAGTAATATCTTCTAGTGGACCAACTTCTGTTGGTGAAGGAGACAAGCATTCCAGATCCACAGAGCCCAACATCAATATCAGATGGTACGGACATACAGTTAGGAAATCCAGTTCTGCCCTTGGACACTGAAACTCCATAATGAGCAAAGTTCTGTTAAATGTCATGTAACTTTGATTGTTTTGAATTAAACATTAATTGCCATCTCAAGGTCAAAGGAAGCAATTAAAACTGGTTGTTTGCAACGGAAACGATCAGTTAAGATTTAATGTGTTTGGCCCAAACATCAAAATGGAATATTTAAAAGACTATTTAAAATGGATACCATATTTGAATGACAGCATTGCACATACTGACCTGAGCTCACAGGAAGCCTCATCAAACTTATCCATAGATTAATAGATTCCAAGAGGGGCCACAGTTATCATCGAATCTGACCTCCCGTATACTACAAGCCATAGAACTTTCCCACAATAATTCCTAGAGTAGAGCTTTCAGAAAAACATCTGATTTTTAAGGTCCATTAAAATCAATGGAAAAAAGCCTCCTCAACCCAATGAGAGCTGGACTAACTGCAGAATTGTTGAGTGAAGCCTAAAACTTTGGACACACAAACTTTATACTGTGAAAATACTTTTTTTTTTAATTGTCTTTGTTAGGTGTGAGAAATTATGCTGATCTGAGTCTGAAACTCTGAATTAGACACCAAATTAGAAGATATTTGGCAGTATGTAACGGACCCGGTGCACATTGATCCGTTTAGGCCAGGCCACAGGTACATTGGCATACAGAGCGGAGGAAATATACATCCCCACTGCTATGCTATTCCTTTTGTGAGGATAAATATATTCTTATGGCATGAGTCACCAGATGGTGGAATTACATAGTCTTACACATTTTCTTTCTTGGTGTTCAAGCAAGTTTTTAGTCTTGGAAGAAATGCTGTGTTGTTTTTCTGATGCAGCTTCTTCGGAAGAGCTGTGACAAGCAGCAAGGGTGTTTGCTCTTTGCCTTAATCACTCATCTAGATTCAGTTCTTGAGGCACAGCTCCCTGGAAACCAAGCACCAGTGCTTGGGCTGAGAACCCTGAAAGAGGGAATTGCCTGGGTGCTGTTGATGACTCCCTCTGCTCAGGGACTGATATTTGTGTAAATCAAACAAGTTACACTAAGAAAATAGATCATAGATCATAGAAGGTTAGGGTTGGAAGGGACCTCTGGAGGTCATCAAGTCCAACCCCCTGCTTGAAGCAGGACCGATCCCCAATTTTTGCCCCAGATCCCTAAATGGCCCCCTCAAGGATTGAACTCACAACCCTGGGTTTAGCAGGCCAATGCTCAAACCACTGAGCTATCCCTCCCCCCAATATACAGACCATGTCATGGATTTCTCCTCCAGTAGGAAGTTGATCTACAAGGGCTCAACATCAGTTACTGCTTGGCAGAGGGCCAACACTATTTTAGTCTCCTCAATGGTCAGTCTGGCATCTTCATTTATGAACATTACGTTGTTTTTTTTTTTAAGAAATCTTTCACTGTTGATCTCACAGCACAGGCTACTGAGAGTAGGAAAGAAACAAAATCAGTCTGAGACTGTATTATCTTATGTGTTTCTGGGGGCCTAGAGTGGAGACAATGTGCATTCTCTCACTTGGCAGCCTTCTCACTCCCCATCTCCCCTGAGAGGTCTAGGAACAGCTCTCCATTCTATATGGTTGGAGAGGTGATCTCATGTGGAGGGCAGGGCATCTTGCTTCCTCATAGCTATTTATTTTTCATTGAGTGCCAAGAACTAGCTGATTTCTGAGGATGTTGTTGTCACTAACTTGTTTCACCCTATTCTTTCCTCCCTAAGGTGCCTTTCCATGTGAGAAATCTGAAGCACCTATGTTAAAATGCTGTATAATGCACCAAATCCACTTTCTGCTATGGGACAGTCAATAAATCTTCTATGATAGCCACTCCATAACACTCCTTACCTTAAGCCAGTTGCTACTTGTGGAGAAAGAAATCCCTGAATAATTGTACAGGAAAATACCTGCTTTTGACAAATACTCCAAACTACTTCTAGTCGCTACCCAAAAACTATAGAACCATTTGTACACTCAGATATTAACCGCTAGCAGCTACATAGCAATTTAGTTTACATATGTACTTCAACTTGAAAGCCATAAAGAAATTTCAGCAGTTTATATAGATGGTTAGTAATACTTAGTATTTAACACCAGCAATGGGCTTTATGAACATAAATTAATGCTTACAACACTAAGTGTTTTTCCCATGTTACAGAAGGGGAAATGGAAATATTAGATTGCCACCTTCTGACACTATGTCAGAGCAAGATTAGTACTCAACAGTTCATGGCTGCAGGCCTATCTTCAGATCATGCCTCTCTACAGGCATTCTTGCCACCTGTAACTTAATATACCATTCTAGTCTCAGTATTCTAGAATGGAATGTGTGCATCCAAATTGCTTTAAGGTTTCCTTTGTGCACCTTCTTTTGGTCTCACTCTTTTCCAGTTTTTCTAGCCCAGCTGTGCGGTACTGCATATGCCTGGATTCACATTTAAAAATTAGTCTTGATGGCATTCTGCACCAAAAAATAAAAATTTTGCACACAATATTCTAAAATTCTGCAAATTGTATTTGTCAAATGAATATGGAGACTCCAGCATGGCATTGGGGTGCACAGAGGTGGGAGATCACTGTGCAGCTCCCCCACACAGGACATGGACTCAGTGGTGAAGCTGTACCCAACCCTGATACAGCGCAAGGACCAGGCCTGCCCCAGAAACATCCGATGGCCATGCCCTTCTGTGCCAGGTGCACCAGGTGTGGGCAGGCAGGCTCAGCAAGGCAGGATCCAAGTGTGAAGGGACTTACTGTGGGGGGTCCAGGTGTGGGTTGAGAGGGTTGTGTGTGGGTGGCTCAATGGGGGATCCGGGTGTGGAGGGGATCTGGATGCAAAGGAGTTTGTTGTGGGGGATTCTGGGTGCAAAGGTAATGGGACTCTGCATGGGGATCCAGGTGAAGGTGGTTAGGGATCAGCGGGGGTGGGGGTCTGGGTATGGGGGGATAGAGCTCAGCAGCGGGGTCTGGGTGTGGGGGGCTCAGTGGGGAGTCCAGATGCTGGGGGAGTGGGGCTCAGTACAGTGGGGATCCAGGCAGGTGGCTCAGGGTGATCCAGGTGAAGGAGGAGTGGGGCTCATTGGGTGGGTTCTGGGTGTGGGGGGGAGAGTGAGGCTCAGCGGGAGGGTCTGGGTATGACGGGGGTCTGGATGCAGGGGGGTTGGGTGGATGGGGGAGCAGCTCCCTGTACAGTGACCCCTCCCTCTGCAGCGGGGGAGTGATCGGTGCAGGAAGCACAGTGGGTGGGGGTGTGGGGGAAGAGTTTGCAGAGCTTCCTACACCTGGGGGAGAAATCCAGGGGTGGGTCTGACATGACCCTGGATGCCATGCAGGGGAAAAGGAAGTCCTGTCCTCCCCAGCCCAGCCAGGACTAGCAGCTGAGCCTAGCATGGGGTAGGCACCACCAGCTGGGTCTTCCCCATTTCTGCCCCCTGCCCCACAGTGATCTCCCTCTCTGCTGGCTGCCCTGGGTACCCAAAACATACTGCTGGGGAGGGTTGCATGACTGCTCTTGTGGCTTCCCTTTGCTTCCCTGTCAGAAAGTCATTTTTCTCCTGGGAAGTAAAAAAAATCTGCAGGGGACATCAATTCTGTGCATGTACAGTGGCACGGAATCCCCCCCGGGGTAAAAAATGCAGGCCACACTTCATTCCTTGCACCTCACCTCTCATATGCACTTTGATGTAAAAATGCTGGCTTGGAGTTGCACAAAGGGCGTGCACCATTTTAAACGTTTGCTCCACTGATTCTGAGATGTGCCATGTCAGAGTGTTTTGTTAATCTGTGCAATTGCATGTGTCAAATAGAGAAATGGTGAAGCCAAATTCTACATCATTCTTGGAAGCGGGTGTAATGCTCCCAGGTGCATACACATATCCTAGGTGAGGGAAGCCTGTTAGAAGCAGAAATTGTGGTGAAGAGGTGGTGAGGAGGCTTTGCATAGGGGCCATTGTTTGATAAGGGCAGCCATATGTGTAGAGCCATAAACGTATGGACAGTGCCCCCGAGAGCTTGATCATGCTCAATTTGCTTCTCTTCACCGTACGTCAGGTACCTGCAGAGCACAGACTCTGTGACTTCTCTCAGCAGGCAGAAGCCAAAAATACAGCTTTTACCTTTTGCTCCTGGTACTTCTTGCAATTTCTTTAGTGTGCACACACATAAAGCACCAGAATTTGGCCGGCCATTTTGAAGGCACATGTTAAACAGGAAACTGACAAATGCTGGCAACCAAATTTTCTAGTCACAACTTTTCACAATGCTCCAGAAATCAAACTACAATATCTGGAGAGAAAAAGGGACCTGCTCCTGGTCCCATTGAAATCAATAACAAAACTCTCATTGATTTTAATGGGACTGTGCCCAAAGTGTGAGTCCCAAACACACTACTCTATTTTGCCAATCCCCCGTAGTATATAATATTATGCCTTTTGACCTGTGTGGTTAGCTAAATTCAGGATGTTGCAGGTTGTTCCAATTAGGAGGAGAAATTGATGAGAGTTGGGTATTTCTTTGATGCAATCTTCTTTATTTACAAAGTCCTGTTTCCCTGAACACAGCAGGAATCAAACAGCAGGAACCAGTTTCTTTGCTCGCTGTCCCAAACCTGCCTTTCCAGACAGCACTCTGTGCCCCAAACACTTTCTCTCTTAGCTTTCTCTAGGGCCACATTGCCAGCACAGCTGGACTGCTTGCTGGCTGCCTCTCGTTCACCCACATGTCCAGCTGAGTCCCTGCCTGTTTCCTTTGGAAAGAGCAGAGCTGAATGCAGGTTAAGTTGAACTTATTAAACCCTGCAGACTATTCTGTCCATGTAGCTGAGTTGCTTCTAGCCTAACTCCACCTGTTCCCACTAAGCGCATTAAGTCGGCGTAGTGCGTCCTCACTACCGTGGCAACATCGAATTACAGAGCGGTGCACTGAGGGTAGCTATCCCACAGTTCCCGCAGTCTCCGCTGCCCATTGGAATTCTGGGTTAAGAGCCCAATGCCTGATGGGGCAAAAACATTGTCGCAGACGGTTTCAGGTACATGTCGTCAGTTGCCCCTCCCTCTGTGAAAGCAACGGTAGACAATCATT